CGTACATGAAGATTGTGTTTCTTTATCTCTGCAATTTCCTGTTTACTAAGCTCAATGTTTGTAGGAATGGCACTAGTTGCCGTCATATTTGCTTGGTTTCCATCACCAACATGGTTACTACTGATTTCGGCGAGAACCACAGACAGCCTTCGATCTTCGCTCTCAACATGATTACCCATTGCAGGGCTCAGAGGAGGAGACAAGCTGTTGAAATGTGTCACATGATTGGAGAGTGGTTCTAAATGGGGTGGGGCTGAATCTTGAGGCGGTGGAGATGGGGATCGCGGTCTAAAATCTGCGATGGATCCACCATGAGACATAATACCGTCAACTGGAAAGGAAAGAAGCAACTACAGATCATACTTATTAATATACCTTAAAATGTACAAGACATCAAAATTACAGCGCTCTAACAAAGAGACCTCAATGATACGATGATGTTGAGCGTGTTTTTAGGCAAGATGATCCACAGACTCAGTTTACAATTTGAACAACATGCTTCAGAACATTCTACAGAGGAGGAGAAAGTTAAAACAACAACTAAATTTACATATGGAACAATGCCATATTCCCTGATAATGGAGACACAAAGCGTCTCCGAAACATCACACTTTTATTCCAAACTGACGTGGTCAATCACGCAAGATTTCATCACATTTATTATTGCAAAAGCTTCAAGTCATACGTGAAAGAAATTCAGCTGCACATGTCCTCCGAGATCCACATCTAACAGGACTGCACATAGTATATATAAGTTTGTAAACTTCCTGTGTCCAACTCACCCATATCTCCATTCACCATGGTTAACTTTGGTGGTTCTGAACCTTCTGAATCGGGGGCTGTCACTAGTACCTCCCCTCTGCCAGATTCTATGGATGTTCCATTGGCAGTGACTGGGATCAGTAAAGGGGGAGGTGGGTCTGGTGAATACCACACAGGACTGTGACTAGGTGAGGAACTCGAAGAGTGAAGGGGGGATGACGGGGGAGATGGTGAATTTGGCCTTCTTACAACCACATGTCGTGGAATTGGCCCAGGTTTGCGTTTACTTGGGGGTCGTGGAGAAGATGGGTCCATCTGAGAAGCGTTACGTTTCGTTCCACTTCTGTGACCACCGGTGCCCCCGTGCGTTCCACTTCCTCCACCAACTGGATCGATATCGGCCTCGTCTACCATCATTCGCTACAAGAAGGGCATAAAGGGTAAGAAAACCATATTTTCTCTTCCTATAAAGTTGAAGGCACATAATATATGAATAAACCTGGCACGCATCTTAATTAAGCATAAAATCATAAACACACACAATATATGAATAAACCTGGCACACATCTTAATTAAGCATAAAATCATAAACTTACCTTGTCTATTTTGAACGGATTTCCGAACATATGCTGTCGAACAGGCGCCGATTCGATTTCGCGAAGCTGAGGCTGCATACGTTTCAGGTACTCTTGGTAATTGCCCATTTGGCTCACTGGCATGCTGTGTGCAAAGTCTATGGAATATAACAACAAAGAGCAATCCGATTACGTGAGATACAGTAAAAACCTGAAACTGTGACATGGCCATGCAGTGTTCACTCTTAATGTGGGTTTTTCATGGTACTATCGCAATCGTACAAACATTTCAGGAATAATACAAAAAAGTTACATAACTAGAATAAACTCTTACCATCATCTACTAGTTTTGTGTGAGACAGCGCTGGCTGAAGAAAATTTGCTCTCATCCGCACTACTTGATCCAGTAGGCAACGACGCGGGATGTCAAATGGATTGCGGTAACTTTGCTTACCCTTCTGGCAATGTCCACGCATCAAACCAACCACAAATCCACCAAACTCATTCAGCTGTTCCCGCAAGGATGTAAACTTATCTATGAAAAGTAAAAATAAATATAAAACAATGAAGTCTTCATACAGTCACTGCCCAAATGTACGAAAGAGACTCAAAATTTTAGAAAGCATATGGAAGAAAAACTGGTTAAATTACAATGGCACGAAATGATCTTAAGACTGTGTGTGTTCGCCTACCGACTATGCTAGAAACGTGGCTTTAAATACTGATGACAAATAAAACTTAAGATTTAGTATGAAAATCCACACAAGGCGCCTTCAACACCGACCTTAACATCGGCTAAGAACCGGATATGACCTTTGATGTCCTGTGCGTTGAAAAAAATCTCAAACATTCAAAACACATTCCAGAAACAAAGGAATACAAACAACATAATATACAAAACAAGTACATTAGAAAAAGAACGAAAGACAAGTTGGCAACAGAAAACAACATTAGAAACACTTACGATAAAGTCAATGACATATAATAACTGGAACAAAAATTCTGAGCCATCAGTAAAAACGATTCCTCAGTAATATTTCGGTAGAACGAAAGTTTTGAATCATCATCATCTGGCTCAAGAATTATGCAATTTCATTATCCCTAACCGCATTTATAAGATGGTTTTGCCACTTTTGTACCTGCACCTTGTCGTGGTGGTGGGGCTTGAGTACCTCAGTGACCCCAAGAGCTACTAGTATGGCCTCCTTAGCCAGATTGGTCGAGGGGGAGAGGTCAGACTAAGACAGGTATCCTGGTCCTCCAGGTTGGGGGTTGGTCGCAAGGCTAACAACCTTGCACCGTGAAAAGGAAGATGTTTCGAAACCTCGATCAAAGCCTCGGACAGACGGACCTAACAGAGGACCGAATGGAAGAGGAGAATTGAGGAGGCCACGGACCGAATACGGACCGGAGAGCCATATAAGAAGTATCTGCATTAATATGGAAAAATGTAGAGTAAAACGTGCCCAGCTGACTGGTTGTATTAGAAAGTCAGATTTTCTTTAAATGCCAATGTGTAAATGCACTATTTTCCAAACCATGGGAAAAAGAACCCTTGAGCATCAATAACTAAAGTAAACTAAAAGTAGAGACAGAAGAAACACACCCAATCAAACGAGGGATAAAATGTACCTTGTAGTAAGGGATGAGAAACAAGGTCTTTTTTGAGAGGGGACCTGGGTGACACTCTAACTCCTTCCGTTATGGCGGACGATCCACCAGCAGACTTCCCGCTGCTGCCCGAGGAGAGAGGTGGAGGTTTACTCCCCACTTCATTGCACAGACGATCAAACTCCATTTTGGCCTGATTCTTCAAGCGCTTCAAGTAGTTCAGGACACTGTAGCTGAGGGAGTTGTCCAAAGTGTCTGGAATGAGCGACTGAGACAGACTACCTTGAGCTCCCATCCGCGTCAGGGCTCTTCTCAGGGCCTAATTCACATATGAAGAACTTCTTCAGATTTTGAAGTAGAAAAAGAACATGAAATGTAAAGTAAATGATTATATTATATTAAAGAAAAGAAATAAATAAACCCTGTTAAAACACATTTGATTAGTTTAATTCGTAAAGCATTTACATGAGTTTATAAAAGGAAGAAAATGATGCACTTGAATATTATACCTCATACTGATTTTTTAAATTCAATATTTCCAATCCACGCAGCAAGACTAAAAGTTAGCACTAGAAGCTGTTATTTCGCCTTTTACATGTCCTACCTTTTAAACCCGACAAATAAAATATAATTGATGCACTATCAATGAATGTTGTGTCAGCGGATTTTACATCAATGAACATACGCATATACTATTCACTGATGAATGCATCTACTTTTTCTTTATCCCAAGCGTATAACTACGTACAGCATGTGAGCCGTAGTAGCAAAAAATTGGGAATGATTCATAAAATCAACCATGATTTATTTGAAAATCAAGATCTATGACAAACACCCTATCAAGTCTTGGGTTACGTATGTTGGGACTAAGTGGAGTTTCTACACAACAAAATTTCTAAAAATGCATAAGCATTGGTTATTTAATGATACTGTTTCAACAGCTGAAGTTATATAGCGTTAAATGCGATGGGAAGGTGACAATGAATGGTGAGCAAGGAAATTCCACAAAATACTTCAGTCAGGATACCCACTAATCATCAAGCCACAATTTGAATGTACTCGATATTAAATATAACTTCTTAACCGTTCACATAACTGGACTTTCGATTTTGAATTTTCAGCAGCTCACCCCTGCATAATATGCCGGCATTGTCCTCAAGTAGTTCTGGAACTGGGTACGCCATTCACTGGTAGGTTTCAGGCGATGGACTTTGAAGAGCTCCTCCAGAAGAGGCAACAGCACTGGATAGTTGTACGGCATCACGAACAGATTCACGCACGTCAAGTTTGTACTGGCCTTCAGATATCCAAATGGGTGGCCCACTTCTGAGTTCTTATAGCTGTTTGCAACGAAAACCTGAACGGAAGAAGACGCCATTTTAATAACTGCATACATCTTAGAAATGATTTACTTTGTGGCACCTGCACCTTGTCGTGGGGCTTGAGTACCTCTGTGACCCCAAGAGCTACTGGTAGGGCCTCCGTAGCCAGATTGGTCGAGGGGGTGAGGTCAGACTAAGACAGGTACCCTGGTCCTCCAGGTTGGGGGTTGGTCGCAAGGCTAACAACCTTGCACCGTAAAAAGGAAGATGTTTCAAAACCTCGATCAAAGCCTCGGACAGACGGCCCTAACAGAGGACCGAAAGGAAGAGGAGAATTGAGGAGGCCATGGACTGAATACGGACCGGAGAGCCATAGAAGAAGAAGAAGACTTTGTAGTTTGTTAACTATAAATTGCAGACAGCATAAATTAGGAGGATTTTGAGGTTTTCATGGCGGTGAGTCAAAAAATAGCTGTCTTCTGGGCTGCCTCCTTCATCAGGGCTTTGATCATGGAGGCAGAAAGGTCCTCTGAAATAAACAACTACCAGACTACACTGCACTACAACCAATCATAAATCAAGCTGTGGACCACTGGTTTCTAAACACAGACTTAAAATATAAATGCAATATATGAAAATCTTAACTATCGGTACAACAATTTGTAAAGTTACCTGCCAACAGACTGTGGGTTGTTTACGAGCCAAGATAAACTGAGTAAGGGGACTTGGCTCCATCTCATACTTGTCAAAAGGCAGATTCTCAATTACCATCGGTTCCTGACTTGTGCATGTGAATTTCACGTTGGGATGTGCTGAGCGTGGCGGCTATAACAAACACATTAATCATCATTCCACAAATAAACTCCACAGACTTCTTTATATCACCAGAATTTTATTTATATTATATGAATTTCATAGAATCTTGATGATGTAATTTTTATATATAATTACTTTTCTTAATAAGTGTCTGAGAGCTGCAGGCAGCATTTACAAATGGCTAGCTCGTCCTCAAAGTGTTAAGATAGCTGAATAAACTGTTAAGTCACCATATCAATGTAAGACTTACCAATGACGAGGAACTGAGATCGGGCCAAAATGATTCTGGAATAGGCCAGAATCCAACGGCAAAACCCTTCTGTGCTGAGCGTGGCACATAAATAAGGCGCCTACACGCGTGCCAGGCTGTACTATTACCCGCTGACAAGGAACTAACTATGTTATTGCTCGGGACACCATTATTCAAACGCGCCTGTTAAATAAGAACAACACATACATAGAAATCACATCGCCTTTCGGCAGCTGCCACTACTGATGAGTTACGAGTACCTTGCACTTCTTAAGTCAGTGTGCGACTTCTTCTCAAAGTTATATTATATTCTTAGTCATCAGAAATACACTTTCTTCAATATTTTATCAGTAGAACGAAAGTTTTAATCAACATCACGTAACTAAGGCACTGCAAAATCAATATTCTGAACTAAAGCCGCATTTACGAGACCATGTACAAGTGATATTAATTACGTTCTTAAAACGGAAGGAAAGTTTACAACATGTCGATCAAGATTTGAGGTTTTCATGAAGGTGGAAATGACAGCGTTAGACTTCTGAGTTGCGACGCCATACATTTTGCAGTAAGTCACAAAAATATTTCACTCTTCCTGGATACAGGCCGTCACTAAGTGGTATCCCCAAGAATGTTGCATAACGCTGAACTCACGCAATGATATTGCTGTCCTTCTATTCGCAAGAGTTAACTTGAACACCGGGAAAGAAAATTCCTTTGTGGTACATGAAGGAGATTATATGCTAGAAATTTCCAGTTCTTCTCTTACGTCTGCATTAATTTCAAGAGCGTAGAAACTGCAAGAATACTTACCCCATTATTCCTTATAATGCTGTCTTCTTCTGCTGATAGACTGTAGTCCTTATCCGATTCATTATCATTTCCTTTACCCTCTGAATCATTATCAACAGCAGTCGCATCTGAATCAGATTTTGTTCCTGTATATGAGAATATAACAGTAACTCAAAAAAGAAAGCCGGGAAACAAAACACGGTTATCAGCTACAGTATTCTGAGATCTTCAGAAACGCGAGCTCTTCATTATAATTTCAGCAGAACGAAAGTTTCAAATTAGCATCATGAGATATCAGAAACAAGCCAAACTCTCTAAACACAAAGCCCATCTAAATAGTATTTAAACATTCAGTCCGTACCTCAAAGAAAATGCAACATTTCACCGCTATGAAGATGAGACGGCTAATACTGCTTAGGGAAATGAATATTATTTACTCTGAAAATCACACAAAACACGCACATACACTCACTGGGCAAATACAGAGTTACCGACTGTTAAAGCAGGGACGTATAGAGAAACATCGTGAATAAAACACCGACAGCTTTTTACCTTCAGATGTAACTGGCGGTGGATCTGGACCAATTTTCTCGAAGTTGATCACTACTCCGCTTTGAACTTTTTGCACCAGACTGTCTATGCACTGCATCAGCATACGATGTGACGTAATGCAATACGACCTCCCTGAAAAAAACCAAAATAGAGAAATACAATCCGCAACACGTTTAGTTACCGACTGATAGCGCCCTCATCACTTTTCTTCCTGTAACTCACGTAAAATAAATAAAATAATGGGTTTTGTTTGTTTCTTGAGTGACTTATCTTCAAAATATTAACCTACGAGTTACATTTTCACTGAACCAAGCAATAAAACAGCACTTAATTTAATAACTTTTAATGTCAAACTTCATTATTCATTAGTTAAATAGAACTAAAAAAAAAAACCACATGACAGAAAAATCATTTTACAAAAACAACTTATTCAAGAAGAATAAACACGTAAGTGCTTCTCATTACATTGTATCTCTATACAAGACTTACTGATGTATTACCTCCAGTGACTTCACACATTGCATCAATGGGAGAACCATCACTTGGCACCAGTCCAACGTCACGGTCTAACGCGGGCGTTCCAGAAAGTCGCAGAACAAGCGAAAACAGTCGCTGGTCCCAACGGAACGGTTCGCGCGTAAGTTCCGAACCAGGTATTGGCGAGTGCATTGGCAAATTAAACTGAAACATAATTACCAACTCCGGTAAAGTTTATTTATGATAATAATTTTTATGTCATAGCTTCGAAGGTTTCTGGAGCGTCGTATCAGAATTTCTTCCCAATGACAATATCACTCTCAGCATTTGGGACATAAAAATCTCAATGCTGTCATAAAAAACATCCCCAAATTTCAAAATAGTACCTACTGCAATATATAATTTTGTCTCCCAAGTTTTGAGGCACTGCCATTTATATGTAACATAATGGAATGTTTCCAAAGTATTTAATTCCTCTGCACGGAACCCTTTATTACATATACAAAAGTGTTGTCGTGGATACCCTCCACTCAGTACAAGCACATGACATTTCCTCCCAGATATTAATGCCAATCACATTCCCCCTCTAAATTTCATTCCTGAACACTTCACACTCCAGAAACCTTCTTCAACTCTGATGGACCGATCTCGTAACCACGACAACTGTTGCCACCACAAACTGTGCCTGCCAAGCACAAAATATAACAAATGTAATTAATTTTAAAATAGCGAAATAAAACTCTGATGTTCCTGCATAAATGACCATGTTCCAAAACAAATTAACCCCGTCCTCAAAGCACCTAACAAACAGATCAATTTCCACTTGTCTCCGTCCTCCACCATTGGACCCTGCAATTACCTCTTCCACTTAACCTTCATCGCAACGGACTACAAAGGATTAACGTGTTCTATACTTACTCTATCCTTTTAAGACAGAGAACCCAAAAGTGAGAATTGAGGTTGTCATGGCAGTGAAGATAACAACGTTGTTCTGAGTCGTGGTGCCATGCAAATTCGTAGGTAGATACCAACATTTCGGAGCAACATACTGTCTCCATCTTGAGTCCTGAAGATGAAGATAGTAAGTACACCGTGTTTCAAAAATAGCTTCACAACTTCACAGGAGAATATAAATTTATTTAAAGGACGTGCACAATATTTTTAAATGCACAAATTTATCCAAACACATCAAGTTTCATGCACATAAACTGTAGTATCGAAAACCGCCACCATGAGCGCTCCCAGCCCCTTCTTTTACATGGAGAAGACCATTACCGGCATTGTGTATCTGGACATGCTCCAACAGTTCCTCATTCCTCAACTCGACGAAGATGACCAGGAAGGACGCATTCACTTCCAGCAAGACGGTGCACCCCTTCATTACCTCGGAGAAGTGCGCGAGTACCTCAACCGTTTCCCAGGTCAGTGGGTTGGTCGGGCCGCACCTATAGCACGGCCACCTCGTTCCCCAGATCTAACACCTTTAGATTTTTTCTTGTGGGGATTTGTTAAAGATCGAGTGTACGTGCCACCATTACCTGCAAATGTGGCTGAACTCCGAACTCGAATTACCGCCGCAGTTGCTGAAGTGACACCGGAGATGCTACACAGCGCATCGCAAGATATTGACTACAGATGGGACGTCTGCCGCATAACAAATGGAAGTCGCATTGAACCATAAAAATCCGATGGACATAAAACTTGAAGTGTTTGACTACATTTCTATGTTCTGAAATTATACGTTTCTCCCATCAGTTCACCAATATCTCGCCCTCAAGTTGTAAAGCTACTTTTTGAAACACGCTGCATATTTCTATTTACCAGAGTCCACATGGTGCCACAAGCCAGAAGAACATCAGAGTATTTTAATTTTTCAACCGGTGAGAAACCACATTTCATAAAGTGGCCACACTTAGTAAATAGGTTAAGGGTCCAGGCTAGACTCACCAGCCAGCCAAACAGCCAGGTAGAAACTGTAAATTAGCCTCCAGGCAACCCTGCTGTGAAGCCAGCCAGTCTAATCCTCTAGGCCAGTGATTGACTATTGCAATTATGAGAAAGACTTTCACCACTGGAACATAACATTTCTAGTCAGTGTATTCTTGCATATCATATGCCCTCTGTGAGAGGTAAAAGCTGCAGCTTTCTGGTTCTTACATCAATACGGTTGTGGAGCCCTTACTCTGTTACACGGCCGCCTTCTCTCGTCAGTCTATCATTTCATTAAACCCTTTGCCGGACTCACTGCAGTACAAAACACATTCAGATCGTCCTTCAAATCTTACCTCTGTCCTAGTACATTTCAGAGGATTCTTTTTTAAATAATGGGTATCACCGATCAATGCCGTGCTGGTAACTCAGTGGATGGCAAAGAGTTAAGTTGCTTTTGAAGTTCATTTCTTTATACCAAGCTGTGATATGACCAAAACCAAATGTAATATAAAGGTCAAATATTTAGTGTGCACCCTTTCATAACAAATAACAGAGGAAAATGCATGATTCAGTAAGAGCACCAGTTCCGATTCTTCACAAGTTTCTTCCTTGTTAACTCGAGAATGCTACACGACAAACGTTTGTTCGTCACATATCTGCTATATACCGGGACTTTGAGGCAAGGTTCTCCCACCACCTGCTCATTACAAATCATTGCAAAGATTACGCCTTATTTTCACGTGCTAGATCATGGAAGTTACTTAAGTATGTAAGATTTGAGGTTTTCACAGCGGTGAGTATGAAGATTTCTGCCTTCTGGGTTGTTGCGCCGTGTAGTCTGGTAGATGTTAACCAACGTTTCAGAGGTCATACTGCCTCCGTCATCAGGGTGATGAAACGTTGGTTGACATCGACCAGACTACACAACGCAACAAGCAGGGAAGACAGAAATCTTCGAAGTTACTTAACTCTGTTGCATGAACTGAAAGTTTACGTGCAGTATAACTGAGGATCATCTTAGGATTTTTACAGATACAGGACCTATTTTTCACTTAGGAGCAAAAAGGACACACATATATATGATTACACATGACGAGTTGAATGGGATATTAAATGGAAACACTCAGTTTATCCTCGAGAGACAACAGTGACTAGCTAGGGAAGGGCTCCCCAGTTATTTTAAATGAAGACAATTCAAAGATATTTTGAATAGACGGTGACACCGCTTGCATTTCTGTGCCTGAACTAAATACAATTACATAGAAAAAGAATTGAATGATGCAGCAGATATCTGGAAGTTGCTTCAGCTGGCACCACGGTGGCTTACACAATACACAACGGCACTTCTGGGTATGTACGCTAATGAATCTTTGAGAGTAATGTGTCTAGTTCAGGGGTTCTCAAACATTTTGTGCCTTATATAAAAGTCCAGTACCCCATTCGAAAGAAACTTAAAAAGAAAAAGTACATTTCTATTGCCGACAGAAAAGAAAGTATTATTAGTAGTGGTTATATTAATTTTAAATGCAGAACGTAAACTAATTTATGGTTGCAAGAAGGTACCAGTACCACAAATTGAGAACCACTGGTCTAGTTCATCAGTACCAAACATTCACTTTCATGCTTCGGTAATTAACATAAGGTTTTGGTAACAATCAATATTTTGGACAAACACTCAACTTACAAAACAAGTAAATTTCCCAAATTAATCCTGATTACTAATGTCTCATTCATTACCTGAAGGTTAAAAGTATAACAAGAATAGTAATAAAATTTTATGAAGTACATTCTTGCCACTACGGTGACAGACGACTGACATCTAATTAACTCACATCCTCCTGAACCCCGGCACTATTTGACAGTTTCCCACCGTCCGTGATGACGACGATGACAGACGGCTCGAGGAAGTACGGACAGCGACCCTGACCATAAGTGTCAATACCAGTTTGCATTCTATTGATATTGAGGACATCAAACGCATGTTTCAGAGCCGCACCCATCGTCGTCATTCCAACACACTGCAGATTCTTCAGCTCGTTCATAAACGTAGCTAAATTTTCTTTCCAACCCGCCTAAAATACAAAACAAATATATAAACTATTTGTCGAATCAAAGGTTTAAGTCTCACACGTCTATAAAAACACAAGGTCGAGCACAAAATGTTGGCACATTTAGAACATTGATAAAAATCAAAACCATTTATTTAAAAGTTATTATAAATCTGTTATGGTCTTGTGTAATTCCAGGAAACGTCTAGAATGCATGCCACAAACTGGTAATGTGACATTAAGTTTCCTGTTTTCAGCCATTCCATAATACCACGTCAGTAACTCGAATGTCACAACAGCTTTTGGCCTCTTGGTCTCCGGACCTTAATCCATGTTACTTTTTCTTGTAGGGTTTCATCAAAGAGAAATTATTTCTAAAGAAACCATGCAAACTCACAGATGTGAGAGCCAAGGCTGTCCAGTTGTACAAAGAGATTACTAATGACATGCGTACACATTTCCATGAAGTTGCTCAACTAAATGGTGGTTACAATGAACAAATGTTTAACTGAATACATTTCTCAAGAAATTCTCTGTCAGGATCTATAAATGTTGTTAAAATTTTATGCTTAAATTAATTATTTTTGGAAAATATTCATGTGTCGACATTTCGTGCACCATCCCGTTTCCAGAACAATGTAATGTGCGTGGTATTTCTTTAATGGCATTGTCAGAAGCTTGAAAAACTGAGGAAAACCATGAAAACGCTCGGCCAGGATTGCCGGTCTCTGGGTGGAGATCCGAGTATATACATAAATAAAAACAAATGGCAGTCTGCTTTTCATAAGCCAAAGACATTACCAAGGATACTCATACGAGTAACCGCAATGAAAACCACTGTGAAGGATATGACGGCAGATGTCTGGTCACAGATGTAGTAAAAATCTGCAGATGTTACGGTTCTTAGGGCTTTTTCTAAAATACCGTCGGCAGTAGCAAAAAAGAGGGACATGGAAACATGTACGAAGTTCTCAAGCAGTTTCTGGGCATGAGAGCTCCTTCCTAATTAGTTAAGTGGTCCCACACTTTCCACTATTGGCCCTTTCTGAGACAGTTTCCAATAAAAAATTAGACCACCTACTTAAACACCAATTCATAGACAGGTGGAGTTTTATTTATGGTTGTGTTTAGACTTATTCTGAAAACCGAAAACATCAACCTGAACGTCACATGTATGTTTGGAATTAGTTACATAAATTAATAATTAATGCAAGGATATTAAATCTGATGTGTTAATGAGCACAAATTTGTCTACATTTCCAATGAAACTGCTAATGTTTAAAAGTTAACGTTTTATTTCAAGTATAAATTTTATTAACTTTAACTCCCACAAAAAAATTTAATCCAAAAACCAGCACCTACGTACACAATGCCTGCACCCTCCGACTACATCGTCTTATTGTTTTTTATTGTGGATATTCACGAAACTTAATTCCTTTCAACATTCCAAATACCAACAACAACAACTATAACAATAAATAAACAACTTTGGAAGCGGTAAACAATGACTGCGCTCACTCATTGTCAATTCCCACAAGTCACTGGGGGGGTGCTCCCCGGGCTAAAAAAACTTAACGTAATATATATTTCGCATAGCATTAACAATGATAAAGTTCCTTTACAAAAATCTTCGCTAGTTGTATGGATCTGAATGCGCAGCAGTTCCTCATATTCCACAGAAAAATGTAAAACCAACAGTAAAAAAGGTTCTGCGCCAAAATAAAAACAATAAATTAGGGGTATCGCTCAAATTTGTCAACAGAAAATTTTCACTTACCTTAATATTAGCGGGCGGATCTTCAAAAGTTAATAACATGTATCTATCGCCTCTACTTTCAGGAGATCTCTGACGAACCTACGAAATAAATAAAACGGTGTATCATGCCTTTAGATATTTCCTAATGACAACGTTACCAACAATTTCGCGAACGTAATTCACCGTAAAATTTCACATACCTTAACGAACGTTTCTACTGCTCCCTTAGCAACATCGAGCAATGTTGGGCGTCCACCCAAATATGCTCTCTGATTCATAGATGCAGAGGTATCTATTAGAAAAACTATTATAGTCATTTCGAATATCGGTCTATGGTCTTCCTACATGTAATACAAAAACTGCACTTAGGGGCCAAATACTGGAAAACCCACCACTTCATCTACTCGCAAACTGCATGCAACCGAACCACAGCTGCCTAGTCAAGCAGCTGAGAGCCTAAAACGCCACGAAGACTCACACCACGTGACCACCTTCGCCATGATTGGTAGCGTAAAGAGGGGTCGTATAAACATTTTCATATCGTTCTTATACAGCTACGAGAACATGATACAAGATAATCAGCGTACACGAATTACTGAAAATGTTTATCACAGTGTATGTCCCTTCTTTAATGTGCGCACATGAAGCTGAAACCTCGAGCTTTAGAAGTGTCTTATCGAATATGTGGAGACGGTCCCTCCCAATGGTGTATTACCACTTTGTCTCCTCTCTGATGAAAGCACTTTTGGCAATAACAGCACGTACATTAAATACAAACGCAGTACATAAAGTAAAATAAAGTAAAACGAAACCGCAGATCCATACTCCTAGCACGTTCCTCACTCTCACACAACCGCTTTGTTCCTTTTAACATTTAACAAAGAAGTAGTTCGACGTTTCCCACAATTCCGTTCGTCTTATGACGACACCTTTCGAAAGGAGACATATAGCGGTAAATTGTTTGAATGTATATAACTTAGGTACACAGGAAATGAAGCCAGAGTAACAGCAAAACTGTTCATAAGTTACACTATGAAAGCAGTTTTCAAAATATCTAACACTTTAGAAACACACACATCACCCAAACGACCCTTTTCCTACAGAGCGTAGGTTTGAAGTAAGATAACGCGAATATATACAGTCTGTCCGCGGTAATAACAGTAACAAATCTGGTTTCTCAGATTATATTCCATTTATGGCGCACTCATGTCAGCCTGGAAGATACCCTGGAAATTCTTAATTTACAAATACAGGACCATATTTCAATATACAGAAGTACTTACCGATGCCAACTGCGACACCTGTACTCCAGTATCTGAACTATTGATACAATTATCATCACTAGATGTCAACAGCAACACCGGTACTTTAAATCCTCTTTCTCTGACCAGTTAAGGCTATACATCATTCTACTTATCGATACTACAAAGAATTTGAGTCGACGCACGCAGTTTACTGATTTTAATAACCCTGAAAATCTGTGTACTCCTCCAATTATGCGTAGTAAGAATATCAAAACAGATATTGATGCAGACATAATTATTCACCCATTAGGAACATACAATATTTAAACGCTTTTTATCATAGTTACGTTATTGAAAACATTATTTTTAAACTAAAATTTATTTTATTATGAATTAAGTTTTAATGCTCAGTTCAAAATATTTTGTCATACTGATTTATAAAAACCTCGAGATTAAAATATATAAACAATAATTTTGCCTGTTGTTTTGTATGAGTGCAAAACATGATCTCTCACTGAGGGAGAAACATAGATTGCAGGTGTTTGAGGATATTTGGGCCTAGGAGAGAAAACTCCATGACAAACTTTCACAATCTGTTCTGGTTCCAAAAAATTCCTCTTATTTTTACCCACTATTTTGGAACAGGCTTATTTAAATTATAAACTCTTGCATTTCTGTCAACCTGAAAATTTTTATGTCAGAAAACTATATGGGTATTCTTATGGTTATACTTCAGAACACTATATCACAACTTTAATGCAATGAATAATGGTGATGCTTTTATATACACTACAGTGTTATGCAAATTAGAAAATGTACACACTGCATGCATGTTTATATATTCAAGTCATACATACTTTTCTTAAGTAACCCACTAAGAAAGAATAATAACATCACTGAGCTGTTAATGTGTCAGACAGATGGATAGCCAAACCAAAGTTCAGTAGTCAATTCTGTATGTGAATACAGCTGAACACTTTAAAATAATCTGAGACTTAACCGAGTTTAAAAACATACGAAATGTGGAAATTCTCGCTGCTGAGGTTGTCAGCTGTCTTTCATAAATTTTTCTTCAACTTTGAGACAGAGCTTTGTAATTTAACTTTTATATAGAGCACATTCTGCAAAATTAGCATCAAACAGAGTAAAATAATTCCTCGTTTTACTTACCTCCTCTTAAAATGAATTCAGTATAGTAAAATAGGCAAATGACAAGAAGAGTTTCAAATATACAACAAATACAACACTATTAAAAACATCAGAATGGATTACATAGGCATAACTCTTTCAAATCACTCATATGATTGAGATGCAATGAAAATTATTATATTATTGAATATAATAAACAGGAAAAACAGCTGTAGGATCTGAGGTTTTCACAGCGGTGAGTCTGAAGCGTGCCGTCTCCTGGGTTGTTGCGTCCGCCTAGCGGATTACATGACGCAAGAACTCAGAGGACGGCAATCGTCAGGAAAAACAGCTGTAGGATTTGAGGTTTTCACAGCGGTGAGTCTGAAGACTGTCGTCTTCTGGGTTGTTGCGTCCGCCTAACGGATTACATGACGCAAGAACTCAGAGGACGGCAATCGTCAGGAAAAACAGCTGTTGCGATTGCCATGTTAACACACAAATCATGATCAAGGTCTTTCTCAACTACTGTCACAGTCGTTAGACTTCAAGCAACTTAAATAATATTTTGGACAAGTCTGCGACTATGATTCCTGGTATTTGATAAGTGCACTTTGAACATTTATGTATTTAGTAGTAGTATTATTACTATTACTGCTGCCGTCACATATATCATAAGCAGGAAATAATAATTTCCTCGGCAGATGTTAAATACTTTGTAGCAGAATATGTCGAGGAAATTAGTAAATAAATACAAAGAATAACAATAAATTTCTGCATTCATCTCAGCAACTCCCGCACGTTAATGCAGACGCGAGTCCTCTTCTCTTTGATGTCTCGAAGTACATGTACTCCTGAAAGAAAGGAAATTCAAATTAAAATAAACTGAGGACAGCTGTCTTCTGCGCTGTAGCACGATGTAGCCTGGCAGAAGTTTACCAATATTTAAAAGGTTTTTTCTTGCCGTCATCATCGGACCATTTTATTTTATTACGGAATTATTTAATAAAACTGCACAAGACTGCATTTTAACAAATGTAATGTTCATGTTGTTCCATTACGTTACTTATTTTCCACACTGAATTTTTTAACAAACTATCTTCTGCTTTGTTTGTTACGTACCAGAAGAAACGCGGCTCCGAGTATGACGGCCTTCATCTCGCTCGTTACCTCGATGGTCGGAAATGTCACGGCCAGGTTGTACCCAGAAAACAAGCTGTCCCAGGCGTGGACGATACTTCCCACATTATTTGTACAGTCAGGAGACAGAATCTGTAACGAGAATGTAGAATTACAGTGACGAGTCTTTAAATTAATCCTGTAGTCACATGACAGTAGATATGTTATACTGCGGTTAATGAATTTCTGTAACCAAGAAATGTTATCAAGTTCCCTGTATTCTCGGATGTTACATCGCGTAGTGCGGTAGATACTGATCAAGATCTTGGAGGATCTTACAGAAATGTAACTTCCTATTTATCATTAATTTATAATTTAAACTAATTATGATACTGACATCAAATTTAGCCTGGTAATTGCTTCCACAGCAGGTCGTGGCTGATGAGGGACCTGTCATGCGATAAATAATTTGTCCGCTAGAGTTTCTCAGCTGAAACAAGGGGGCTGCGATGGTCCATTCCTGTATCACGCTGCCTGTGTAAAGATCTACATCAGAATATACTTCTAGCTCCTGGAAAACGAACAGAGACATGCGAAGACTTAAACACAAAAAGATGTAACAGATTATATTACAGTTCTACGCACTTTCTTGATATCTAAACCTGTTCTTAAAGAAATTATTTTCTTATGTGAGTGTCCTATATTTAGGCCCTTAAAATGGGAATTAAACTTTACCATACAGGAATAGCGGAATTCCTGTAGAACACGACTGACGGCTAGACATTAACTCTGGGGCTAAAGGCCTAGAGATGGCCGACATAAAAGTTTCGATGCATAGCTCTTAAAAGGTTGAGACTCGCATAATAAGTAAAATGTATAGAAAATTTTTATAAAATTCCTTCAAAAGGCCTCGAAATTAAACCAAATGAACGCTAAACTCAAAGCGGTTCAAACAAAATTTATTTTTAATTAAATAAGTCTCATAATTTGAATTTACTTGAGGACACGAATTTAAATACAGGGTTATTTTTAAAATGAAACTACAAGTAAACTGAAGCGGCCATTTAATTATGGGATCGTAGCAACGCACCTGAAGGCAACAACCAAAGAGCCAGCTGCTACAAGCCAGCTTCCTGTTAAGTCTGATGGCTTCCTGTCGACTCTGGTCATATAGCCGCATCTCGAAGCCTCGGTTTGAGGCGCAACACATGCGTTGTGTTTGGCTTGAACTCTCTGCTGCTATGTACAGTGTCTCGCCCTGCGGTACCTTCACTTCAAACCTGTTCTCCGACTCCACGTATGCCAGTACTGGGCGGAAAAACAGTGATTAATTTCTTTTCGACTTACCTATCTTGCGTCAAACTGGCAATTTACCTCTAAAAGAAATTCACAACGGCTTATATTTTTTTTTAACGTATACGACATCAACTGATATTTTAAACAAAATCTGCAGGTTGTAACGAAAGTTACATTTTATAATACCCGCCGATATCTGTATTCCTGGATGAACTGATTATATCTGATTCGCTTATCATCGAAATTTTCAAATTAAATTAATTCCACGACAAATTAAATTTAAATTCACGTAATACCTTCACATATTAAACATAATATGTTAATTTGATGCAGTTAAGACAAAGAACACAAATATTTTAATCTAGGGCTCCTACAGACAAATGATACACTTAAAGCGAAGCTGTCCCACTATACGCCATGTAGGCGCTTGGGGGGGAGAGTTACATCTCCTATTTGTTCATAACCTGAGCACGAGATGGGGATGGGCGGTGCGTGGATACAAACTAATAACAACTTACTGTCGACAAGTTCAACTGTCTGCTGGATGTTGACTTCATTGACGCCTCTAAGGAAGTCCAAGCCGGAAGGTGGAACCATGTGACTCGCGGTCGTTGAACGCCAGTCCTCTATATAATAATCAATATCATCTTTGATTCAAATTTTAATATCAGTCGTATTCAGGGGAAAAAATATTGAGTAAACCAAAGCTATCCCACTACACACCATGTAGGCACTTGGGGGGAGAGTCGCATCTCATATTTTTTCATAACCTGAGCACGAGATGGGGATGAGAGGTCAGGAATGTGTCAGCCATGCTTTTACCTTCAAGGAAAGGACCCACAGTACCCTAAAATTAATATTGATAATAATATTATCTTCCCACTTCTGTATTGGCTTTTAAAGTGGCTAATTTCCAACATGTTTTCCCATAAAATTCTGTGCCAGTTTCTTGTTTCGTCAGTTTTATCTATGATCTCGTGGAAATTTTTCGATTTTAAAAAAAACAAACTAGTAACACCAGGAGTGCTTTAAAAGTTACTAAGACCTAATATTATTTTTCCTATATTTATTTTATTAGCAATTACGTGTTGAGATTGGGATCAGCCGCCGATTCCGGTTTACGTCTGCAAAGAGAAGTGGAATGGAACATGAGCAAAATAAATAATATATTAATGTTATTAAATAATAAAGGGGAAAATAATCTTTCACACTTTTGAAAGCGACCATTGTACAATTACTAGACCTAATTAGTTAAAACTTTTCCACTCTGTATACCTGGTAGTGGCTGAGCCGTGATGATAGTCCGCTGTGTGAAGACTGGCATGTCCAGGTACTCTGCCCCAAAATAAACAAAAACAGAACAACATTGTAAATGAATATCAATATAAATTATCCAAAGATTCCTGTAAAATTAATATAAATTTTTATTTTATTTACCCCTCTGTGGGGCCTAATACACTGACTACTTTCTGAATGAAGCTCTTTTAAAAACAATTAAAACTAAAGCCGTCCCACTACACGCCATGTACGTCATTTGGGGGGGGAGGTATAGCTCCTACTCATTCTTGACCTCGGCATTGTTAATCTTCTGGGTTGTAATGACTTATGTACTTGTCGGTAGAACCAAGGTTTTGGAGGAACATACTGCCTCCATCTTCAAGACTACTTCAAGTCCACACGACGTCACGACCCTAAAGACTAGCATCGACATGTTTATAGACTTTCATGAGTACTATAAAACTGTCAAGTCAGTCCTAACTTTACGAAATTTTCCGAATAAATTCTTTCCCGTAAGTCCCCATAAAACACACGTAAATACAACTCAGTGCCCTTGAAT